TATTCTTAGGTTTTCTTCTTTTTCCTTCCATTTTGATTCTGCTTTTTGTTCTAGCAGATCAGTGGTGACAATTCTGTCTTCTATTTTGCTGATTCTGTGTTCCATCTTTTCAACCCTGTTCTTATGACCCTCTATCTTTTGACAGCATCTGAAACATTGGTCCTCATATGTTGGATCGTGGTTTCTTGTTTTTCCAGTGCCTCTAATGCCTCGTTTGTTTTATCTGCATTGTTTCAGATTTTATTTTTTAAGTTCCTCTTGGTTTTTGCTTACAGTGTCCTGTAATTCTTCAAGTTTGTCTTTCACACATTGAAAATATTCAGTCATTTGTGTTTTAAATTCTATGTCAGAAAGTTCCATCAGACTTTCTGGCTTCAGTAAATCTACTGATACTGTGTCACTTTTGGGAGATGACATTTTGTTTGGGGTATGCATTGGATGTGAGAAAGCCTGTTTCTTCTGTAACATTGGTGTGGTAAAGTTTTTCATGCCAGAGGCAATAAGAGGCTCATGGTCTGAAGTCACTGCTGCAGAGGAGGGCATCGAAGCTACCCTGCTTGCATTTATCTCTGAACTTTTGACTCAAGGCAAGACTTGCTTCAGTCCAGAAGATATACAGCCTGTGAATTAGCAACCTCCTTTATCAGACAACTCCTGCAGCTAGACAAGTCCAAGGTGCCACATGCTAAAGGCAGCTCAAGCTTTGGAAGGGAGAAGGAAATGAAATGGGTTCGCCTGTGATACTGATGTCCCTGTTCAGAGTGGTGGCATTGGGTTGTCCTCCAGGCGTTGGGGATGGGACGTCCAGGCAGTTGAGCCAGATCCTCCAGATGGTGGGACCAGGTCTTCCAGAAAGCTGGAGCAGGACTTCCAATTTTTTAAAGCAGTTAATTGACCGGATATGCAGCAGAGAGCAATGCACTGAAGAGCAATGCATGAAAGAGTGATGTTTGGAAGAACCAAACAGATATATCTTGGGGAGAGTGGAGACAAGAATGATGAGGCCTCACCTCACAAACTTTGGAAATGTTGCCAGGAGGGGTTATTCCATGGAGAAGGACATGATGTTGGGAAGGGTGGAGAGTCAGCAAAGGAGAGGAAGACCCTAAACCAGGTGGATTGACACAGTGACTGCTGCAATGGGCTTTTGTGTATCAGATACTGTGAAGATGGCACAGAATGGAACAGAGTTCAGATCTTTTGTTCATGAGGTCACTGTGAATCATACGCAACTTGATGGCACCTAACAGCAACAACAACATTGCAAGATTCCCTGGGAGCTCAGGTTGTACATAAGCTACCCTGTGTGTGCGCTTCAGTTACCTGTTCCATACCCCTTCCTAGCTCTCCATTTGACTCAAGTGTAGTTTAGAGCTCAGGAACCAAGAACAAAGGCCATATGATTTACTGCAAGGCTGTGGAATCATTGCCTCCACCATAATCTCAATGATTCTACCCTTATCCAATCTTTCTACTCACTCATGGAAGCCCAGTTACCAGGGCCTCTTGGTTTTCCTGAACCTTGCCAGCCTGCTCTTGCATCCAACCATCTGCATCACCTCTTTCCCCGGACCTCTATGTGGCTCATTCTCCACTTCCTTCCAGTCTCTGACCAAATGTCTAACAAGAGGCCTTCTCTGTTGACCTGCTGTCTCTTACCATACTTGATTATAGTTGTCAGCTACTAGTTAACTAGCCCCAAATTCAGTGTCCCTGTGAACATTAGCATAAAGCACTGCTCAATCCTCCATCATCCCAATAATAAGGATTGATTGTTTTATCTATAGGACTTTCACTGACTGCCTTTTGGAAGTAGATAACCTGGGCTTACTCTTTCCACTCTTAGTTTTGAAACCTCTCAGAAACATGTTCAACAACATGGTAACATGGAATCATCCACAGATCAATCACAAATAGAGTAATGTTGACCTTGCATGAATTCCATTAACTGGGAATCAAGGCCAAGCCTCCCTCATAGATGGTGAAAATTCTACAGCTGAACCACCAATACTCCATTGCCCTACTCTATTTTTCTCTAAAGCAGGTATTAGTGTGTGGCATGATGCAGAATAACACTAGGTTTAAATATGTTGTACCTAGGGTCACTATGAGTCAGAGGTGACTCAATAGCACCTAACCACAGAATGTTATATATTTATATGTAATATGAAATGTTTATTAATTGGCTTACTATTTATCCCTGGTGAGAATCTTTGTCAAGAAGACAAAAGATTCTCACCACTGGACCAATTAGCAGCGTCAAGATGGATGACGAAGAGATTGAGAGTGTTCACAGCTTCAGTTTGCTCGGCTCCACAGTCAACCCTCTTGGTACCAGCAGTCAGGAAATCAAAAAGTGTATCGCGATGGGAAAGTCTGCTGTTAGGGACCTCTCAAAGGTACTCAGGAGCAACAGTGTCTCTCTGGAGACTAAGGTGCGCCTGATACAGGCCATGGTCTTTGCAATCGCTTGTTATGCATCAGAGAGTTGGACAATGACTAGGGAGGACAGAAGGAGAGTGGATGCTTTTGAGCTGTGGTGCTGGAGAAGGGTACTGAATGTGCCATGGACTGCCAGGAAAACAAACAGATTCATCTTGGAGAGGAGAGGGACATCATGCTTGGGAGGGTGGAGGGACAGCGCAGGAGGGGAAGACCCTCTATGAGATGGATTGATTCGGTGGCTGGGGTAATCGGGATGGGTGTGTCAGAGGCGGTGCAGTTGGCGCAGGATAGAGTAGGGTTTAGGGCTGTTGTGCATAGGGTCGCTATGAGTCGGAAACAACTCGACGGCACATAACAACAACAACAACAATTTATCCCTATTAGAATATAAGCTCCAGGGGACAGGACTTTGTTCTGTTCATTGTTTCATCCTGAGGATCTTGAAGAGTGCCTAGCATACATGATGAATCCTAATTATACAGAGACATGCACAAGGTCGAATTGGAAGAGAAGGCTTGAACTATCCATTGTCCATATGAAGGACCCTGACAGAAAGAAAATCTCTATACATTTTTTCACTAGGATTGGATGATCAGCTAAGTGCTTGAGATTGTACTTTAGTGACATGCTGGTGATTTGGAAAGTAACAAATGGTTGTAAAATTTATCTGTCCCATTTTGGACTACTTTAATAAGTTGTAGGCTCCTGGCAAGGAGATTTGAGCAAGGGCAACAAGTAGAGCAAAATTGTATGGCTTACCAAGAGATAAAAGCACAGAGTCATATTTTGTTGTCAGAAAGACACCCAAAGCCTCATTTGTAACCTGAAAAGTCATGATTCCCATACTACCTGGCTTTCTTTCAGTAACTTGAGGTTAACAAAGATCCTATCAGAATTGTATTTATTAAAGTGATAGACAGAAGACAACATTTTAACACTTCAAGCTGATGGCTTCAACGTCTAAGTCTTCTCAGGATCCCAAGTTGCTGTATGCAAGCATCACAGTCACTGTCAGCAGGGTCTGGAGAAGGGTCAACAGCCAGTAGAATCCACCTCCTCTTGGTGTATTCAAGCCGAAACTGGAGGAATCTGTGTAAAGGGATGTACTAGTCTGCTTTGGCTGCAGTAACAACCCCCTATGTCTATGACTTACAACAAAATATGTTTCTCTCTCCCCATTTCATGAAAGTAGTAATGGCTTTGAACTTACTAATAATCCTGGTTGAATTCCACGTGCATTTTATTCCAGAACCCAGACTGTAGAGTCAAGGCTTAACCATAGAGTTGCATATTGAATTTCTCATTGGACATGACAAGTATCACACATGTATATATTCATAGAGTAATGTATGCCATGTCATCAGCGACCACATCAAGGAAGGTAGGATACATACCCACCGTGGGATGCTTGGAAGGCTCTGTAATCCCATTTCAGGAAAGTATATCCAATGAGGGCTAGAAGTCAGTCCACTAAAGATCTGTTTGTGCAGAAGGTTTCTGCACTGAGAAGGTCATTGAGCCAAGTAACCACTCCAACCACACCCTCTGAAACACTAGCTTTATTTCTAGATTGTGTCCTATCTCCATACCTTTTCAACCTGTGTGCATAACAGATTATCTGGGAGGCTGGGCTGTATGAGAAGTGTGTCATCAGGATTGGAGGAAGATTCATCAACAATCTGTGTTATGCAGATGACACGACCCTTCTTGCTGAAACTGAGAAGGACCTGAAGAATTTGCTGCAGAAAGTCAAGGACTGCAGCAAGAAAACAAAGACTCTCACCACTGGGCTAATTGGCAGCATCAGGATGGATGGTGAAGAGATTGAGATCATCAACAGCTTGAGTTTGCTTCACTACATAGTCAACACTCTTGGCACCAGCAGCCAAGAAATTAAAAGACATAATGTGATGGGAAAGTCTGCTGTTAGGGACCTCTCCTAAGTACTGAAGAGCAATGGTCACTCTGGATACTAAGGTACACCTGATACAGGCCATGGTCTTTGCATCACTTGCTATGCGTCAGAGAGCTGGGCAGTGACTATGGAGGATAGAAGGAGCATTGATGTCTTTGAGCTGTGGTGTTGGAGTATTGAATATACTGCGGACTACTAGGAAAACGAACAGATTTATCCTAGAGAGGGGTAAACCAGGCTGCTCCTTGGAGGCAAGGATTCTGAAGTTTCATCTTTGGACATGTTCCAAGGAGGGACAAGTCCTTGGAGAAGGATGTCATACATCATGCTTGGGAGGGTAGAGGGACAGCGCAGGAGAGGAAGACCTTCTGTGAGGTGGACTGATTCAGTGACTGGGGTAATGGGGGCAGGTGTGTCAGAGACAATGAGATTGGCACGGTATAGGGCAGGATTATGGGCTCTTGTACATAGGGTGGCTATGAGTCGCAGGTGACGCGACAGCACATAACAACAACAATAACAGACTGTGTAAGTTCCTGAGTCTGTCTCCTCAATCCTATCACAGATTCATGTCCATGACCATCTAGTATGCTTTCAAGGGAAGCTGGCTTTTCCTTCCAATTGTCCTCCCTCTTGGCAGGTGGACAGCAGGGCCGTGGAGTCCCTGCTCAGCAACATGTGAGAAGGGCATCCAGCACCGAGAGGTAACTTGCATGTACCAGTTGCAGAATGGTACTCACATCGCCACACAGCCCCTCTACTGCCCAAGTCTCCGACCAACTCCTGTGCAGAGCTGTGAAGGCCAGGACTGCCTGTCTATATGGGAGGCATCAGAGTGGTCACAGGTAGGTGCCTGGACTTCCTGCTAGGAGGGGAACCATCAAAAAAGCTTCAGGACAGAGTCCATAGGAACTGCAATGATAAAGCTTTCACTCCAAGGTACTTGTAAATTACCAACATATTCCTGTGTCACAGTTTTTGCCATGAACCAATCACTTCTGAAGCTGCTTTATAGTTTATATATTCTTATGTCCCATCTGTGGTGAAGTGAACCTATATATTCATAAAACCCCCTTGTTTTTAATAAATACATATTCTAACACCATTTCCTATGAAAATTTGCATATAGGTAAACCCCTGAGAGACACAAACAGTTAAGCATTCAACTACTAGCCTAAAGGTTGATGGTCAAACCTGGAACTGAAGCTACTCCTATCAGCCTATAAAATAACAACATCTGGGAGGAATAAGGTTCTTAGAGCAATCAATTTTAAGAAAGTATCTACCCAAAAGCACAGCTGAGAAGGGAGAGGAACAGGGAAATTGGACAAGTGAAAATGGGGAACCCAGCTGGGGAAAGTGCCAGCACATTGTGTAATCACAATGAATGTCATGGAACACTTTATGAACTATTAGTCATAAAACCAATTTTCTATGTAGACTTTCACCTAACTATAAAATGGTGTTAAAAATATTTAATGAGATTTTAAAACTGGGGGAAAGAGAATGAAGTTTCAATACTTTCTTTTTAAAAAATTAGTGAATCAAACACACATGAAGGCACCTTTGGGATAAATAATCAAAGGTCTAGTGGTTTATTTTCAAAAGTTTATAGCCTTAAAAACTGTACTTCCACACCACGCAGTTCTGCTGCATATGGGGTTGACATGGGTCAGAATAAATTTGCAATAGATTTGTTTTGTTGATCTTTTCTCTTTCTGGTATCAGAGCTGTGATGGCATAGTCCATAGAGGGTAGCCCTGCTAACAGAAAGGTAGCACTTCTTTGGTAATTAAAATCTACCAGCACTAGGGAGAAAGATGAATAATCTCTCCTCTTTGCATTATACCACATTATGTCATATAGCTGACCTTACAGTGGGCTTTTAGAGACAGTAAATCACACAGGAGGAGACTGCCCATCCTTCTCCCATGAAACAGCTGCTAGATAGAATTGCATGCCTCTGGGATTGCAGAACCACTAGGTCACCAGAACTCACTCACTCCCTCTATCTAGCTAGCATGTTATTGTTGTTGTTGCTGTTGTTGTTATTGTTGTTATTGTGTATCATCCAATTGGAACCATCCCATAGCTGATCCTTTCATGGGTTTTTAGAGGCAATCTGTTGCACGAGAGGATATTTCCAATCCTTACAAAGTACCTGGTGGATTCAAACCGCATGCCTTCCAGATTGCAGCACAGCTTCTTGCCACTAGATTATCAGAGCTCCCTATGAACATACATATGAGCTTAGATAGATAGATAGATAGATAGATAGATAGATAGATAGATAGATAGATAGATAGATGGATGAATACGCACACATACACATATATTGTTGTTATGTGCTGTTGAGTCAGAACCAACCCATAGCTGACCTTCCAGTGACAGTAAATGGATGGGAGGAGACTGCCCATCCTTTTCTCATGGAGCAGCTGGCAGCTGGTGGATTTGAACAGCATGCCTTTGGTATTCCAGCACAACTTTTTACCACTAGACTACCAGAGCTCTCTGGTATGAATGCATATCTATATCTATATATCCATATGTAGATATATATAGATACATATAGGCACTCTGATTGCCTATTTGCAAGAAGCTGTGCTGCAATCCTAAAGGCAAGCAGGTCAAATTCACAAGCTTTACTCTCATGCAGTTAACCTGCCAGAGGATCAGCTATGGGTTGGTTCTGACTCAGTGGTTCACAAAAACATATTACTTTTCATATATATGAATGATGTATTACATTATATTGCATTAGCATGCATCATTAATGTACAAAATAGTTGAGAATAGGATATTTTTCACTTTTGTAAAAGTGTGACATGTCAAGTAATAAGAGAGTTGATAAGTGAGGTGTATGTACTGATTCGATTATGACTCAGAATCTCCATGTGTTCCAAGGAAGAACTGTGCTATGTAGTGCTTTCAGTGCTGGTTTCCATTGTTTGCACTAGCTGGTCACCAGATTTTTATTCTCAGGAGCCTCATTTTAGATTCAGTCTTCCAACTTTTTGGTTAGCAGCTGAGTGCTGTCATGTCAGTTCAACCTCAGCACAATACCATGTATATTGTGCGCCTATAGAGTCTCAAGCAGTTGAATTTTTTTAATACATTGGTATGTATTTCTTCTCTGATGTCCCTAGATGGACTTGATATTCCAGCCTTTGTAGTCGAGTGCTTAACTTGTTGTGCCACTTGAGTACTCCAAGCATAAATATCGATATTTCTTTAAATCTTCTTCCACATGTCTCATGCTTTCCAAATATGAGGGGCTTTTTTAATGTTATAATAACATCAAGGAGCTCTGGTGGTATAGTCCATACGAAATTGTACCACTTACCTGAAAGTGACACCTCTTTGGTGGTTCAGATTAACCATTGCCTCTGCAGGAGAAAGAAGGCCAATCTCCAGTCTCTCAGAAACTCCCTGGATGGTTAATTATAAGTTCATTCCAACTCCAAGCAATAACTGACTGTTTTGTTGTTGGGTTTCTTTTTCCTTTTATAACAACACTTGTAACTATAAATACAATTATTATTAATTGGTAGTATGTGGTTATTATACGGACTCTACAGTACACAACAACCATTGATGATTTCAGGCTTGGCTAATTTGCTAAGAAGACATTTTCCTCCCCAAAGAGAGTTTGCATGGAACATTTGTAACAGGATGAAATAGAAGCACAAATTTTATTTGTTTCAGGGGCCAGTTAATCAAATGCCCTAAGGCTTCCATAAGTGGTATAGCACTTGTCTGTGAAATGCTGTACAGACGTAACTCATGGTTACTGTGATGCTAAACATTATGACACTGACGTGCTAAATGCAATAATGGTTACTCATGGTGGACAGTGTTTGGTGGAGCTTCCCTATTAAAATAAGCTTGGAATCAGGAGTGGCATCTACTTCTGAAATGGCTTGCCTTCAGAAACTCTATGAATAGTGCTCAGGTCTTTTGTTCATAGGGTCAGTATGAGTCATCTATGACTCGATGGTACTTAACAATAACAACTAAGGCTTCCCTGATAGGGAGGGAGGCCATAGCCTATCTGTTTTCCCCCCTTCAAGTAAGTACCTTCAAAAACAAAGCAAAACAGAGAAAACTCTCCAATTAAACGTTGATCTATAAGTACACGTTGTTGTTGTAAAGTGTCATCGAGTTGTAGACGACTCATAGGTAGCCTATGAATGAAAAACCTGAACACTTGTATATCTTTCATCTTTTCTCCACATTCATAGAGTTTCCAGAGGCAAGCTATTTCAGAAGTGGATGCCATTCCTGCTTCCAAGCTTATTTTGATTGGGGAGCTCCACCAAACACTGTCCACAAAGGGTAACCATTATCATATTTGACACATCAGTGTCACACGATTTAGCATCACAGCAAACACGAGTTACCTCTTTACAGCAAATGGACAGACCAGTGCCATACCACTTAGAAGAATGTCTGACCAAAACCAGGCCTGAGGGCACAAATGCATTTTTAAATAGGAGGCAGAATAAAATCAACTCACACCCAATGGCAAGTAAACATTCCACCTTAATCCTATCCAGACCCAGAAAACAAATCTCTGTAGGATCCAGCTGTTTCAGAAGACTTCCAACCTGGATTCTAGCCCCATACTGCTGACCAAATGCCTTTTTTAAATAGGAGGCCCAACAAAATCAGCTCACACCCAAAGACAAGTAAACATTCCACCCTAAACTTCACCAGAACCAGAAAGTACATATAAAGCACCCATAAAGGGGAAAAAAAATCAAAGCATATTTTTTTAAAATCTATTCTTTTTCTAAGTACTAAAACAGGAAAAGGCTAAAGACTCCACTCTTTCAACATGCAAATATAAGATTATTTTTAAAAAGCTAACTGTTCTGAGTGGCAAAGGGTAGCCTTTTCATTTGTTAAAATGAAACAAATATCTTTTTTCTCAAAATAATTACAACTATATTGAAAAACAGGACTGACATCAGGATGAAGGGGAGACTGAGAAAGGGGGAAAATAATGTATGCTGCATTGAAACAGATGAGGGAAAGAACTGTTTAAAACGAATATATGATTAGGTATTATTGTCATGACAGGAGTCTAGAATAAAGGCTGCACAGTGGAGTGGACTTGGGGGGAGGGATTATATAACAATGAAAGAATTTTTCTTTACTTTTCAAAAAGAAGAATGAATTGGTGGGAAGGGATGGCAGGGAGAAAAGTGCAACAATGAATGAATGGAATTCCAAAGTGTCTGTAAACTTTTATTAAAATTAATTTTTAAAAAATTACATCTATTTAGCAATAAAAATAAACTTTAAAAATATTTATACACTGGAGGGTTTTTTGAACTAAGCATTTTTAAATTTTTTTAAAAAACATTTGTGATGAAGGACCTGAATAAAACTTGTCCTTTTTTCAGTGACTTTCTAAGTTTGTTTTGTATCAAAAAATAGATGAATAAATCAAATCAAACTCAAAATCATAAAGTGAGATGCAGAGGTGATGCCACCTAAGATAAAATATTTCCTAGATCAGTTTTCAAAGTTAAAGTTTTATTGCCCTCTTCCAAAATACTTCATGCCAAGAGATTTGTGGTACCAATCCACACACTCTGTAAGATTTTTTTCAGCATTAAAAGACTTTGAGAGAGTTAAAGCAAAATCAAGAAAAGACCTTTCAAACAGACTGTGTGACTGTGCAAATACACCCAAAGGAAATGAAAAGATGTATATATAGTTATATCACTGCCACTCATTGCCTTCTAGTTGAAGCTGACTTATAGCTGTCCCTCAGCAGGCTTGTCAGTGTTGTAATGATATAGTCATCTTCCCTTTCTGTGATCTGATGTGGTCATCCTCCACTTTAATATGTCTCTATCTACATAACAACTTGGTTTTGGAACCTAAACATATTAATAAATAAGTAGTGATCATACATAGATGATTTGTATATTTAATGAAATCTGAAAATCATATCGGTCTACAGTTAGGTGAGATTTGAACAAAATTCTTCCTTTAAACGTTTAACATGGAATCAAATCCCTTCCCATAAGATACTCACAAAGCTCATTTTTCTGCAACTTCCCTGTGATTGCAACCCCCATGGATTTCTTCTGTCTGGAAATTAATGAGCTTCATTTTCCTCATGGGTGAGTTTTAGTCATGTGCTTGTTCTTATTCAGCCAACATCATTGATCAAGCTCACTGCTTCCACTCGAGTTTAGTTAGAATGACAAAAAAAAAACCATCCAGAGAGGAAACAAAAAAAAAAAATAGTGACCCCTTCTCTCCCACGCTGGTGATCCCTATTCAGAAGCAAAGAGAGAAACTGGCCATCCACCTTCAAGGCAATGATAGCACAAAGCACTGCTGTTCTCTAAGGCCAAAGGGCTCCAAAGGGATAAGCCAAGGTTTAGCTAAGAAATAGGCTGATAAGTCAATGTCTATAATTCAAGGGGATGGGACAAGGAGAGAAGAGAGTAGGTCAACATAGGAACCTAGGCAGAAATGATGAGCAGGCTTTTAGTTCAGGATTCACATGGGTCCTGGGGTCAGGAAACCACGTTGTTGAAATGGCCAGGAACAGTTTCCACAGAGAAGTGACAAACTGGCAATTCAAGCAGTGGCAGCTCTTCCATACGGTATCTGAGGAATCCCTATGGCACCCTCACCCCACTGTTCCAATCCATCCTGCCCATTTGTGGGTGATGATGCCCACTGAGGCAATCCACCTACACTCCAAGCAATCTTCCATCAAGTCAGCCCCAAATAATGGTAACCTCATTGTGTCAGAATAGAACTGTGATCTGTAGAGTTTTCAATGTTTTTTTCAGAAGTAGATCACCTGACACCAAGACACCCTGGTTGATACCAACTACCCACATTTCAGTTAGCAGCCAAAAACTACCCTGGGCCTCTTTGTTTCTATAAAAATAGCTCTGACCTTTTACCCAGAATCCCCCACAATATAACTCGTTTCTGAAGTGTATGTATTTCTTCTAAAGCAAATTGAAATTAACGTAAAAATAAAACCAGTAGGATTTTCAAATAGCTAAATGAAATTCATAGGAGTGCTGGTGGCATAATGGTTTAAGCTGCACTGCAAACCCAAGGACAAACCAGCTGTTCTGTGGAGAAAGATGGACAGTCAACCCCCATGCCATTTACTGCCTCTGAAACCCCATTCTAGGGTCGACTTTGAGTTGGTTCACATAAGAACAATAACAAATAAAATTTATAGGGAAAAATAACCTACATGACATATTTGAATTAATAGTAGTAACATAAATATCTTCTAAATAAGATTTGGTTGTCCTTTATGTATGTGTCTTTGAGAGAACACGATAATATTTTTTTTTAAGTCAAGAAAACGACTGCTATAAAACCAAGACCAAAACTTATTATCAAGTTGATTCCAACTCATAGCAACCCAGAGGCTGTAAATCTATTTGGAAGAATAATACCTTATCTTTTCCCTATAGAGGGGTTAGTGGGTTTGAATTGCTGATCTTTTGGTTAGCCACCACTCAGTTACCCACAGTGACCCCAGGGCTCTTTAATTCTCTCATAAGTATGAAAACAAAATTAAAGCTGTTAAAGCACTGTATATACCAATAGAGCTTGTGGGCATTCCTCTCCAGAGTTTCTTGACTCAAGTGTTATAGGAGATCTCATTCACAATCTCCTGGACAATCCTTGCTTCCTTGACACTTAGGCCACTTGGTAAACTCCAACGTTCAGCCCATTATCTCATGCATTCCATGTTCCATAGCAAGTCAGAAGGAGGTTGCTGATGCTTGTTAGACCACAGCCCTCTGTGTACTGCACAACCAAGCAGCACTAGTCAGCCATGTACTTCCCAAGGGCACAGCTGCAACTCTGTGTGGTTTTCCTCCTGTTTTCTCCATTGCAGTGAGCAAAACCTCTCCAAGTCTGTTCTGGATGTGGCAAACTGGGATCACAGAACTGGCACATTTCAGAGGATTTTGTAGGTTTCTTTCACATTCTGTCATCATTCCTCACTGCTATATGATGTGAGAGTCTTGATCATTTATCAACCCTCAGGCCCTGCTCTGATGATATCCTGCTCTATATCTCCTTCCTTGTGCATATCCTAGAAAATAAGTAAAATTTATACTGGATAACTGTTACTCTAATATTGGCCATGGTTTCCACATTAAAACAACCCTTATAGATATCTCTCAGGACTTACCCACTTCCTGGCATGAATCTGCCTATAGCTTTGCTCTCCATCACTTAACCTGATTCTGCCCCAGCAGAGCTACCCTTGCTCCATTTAGTCTAGAGTTTTCTCTGCTCCATCTCACAGTCTACCCAACATTTGCCCTTCAACCTTGTTCACTCTTCTAGTCTTCTGGATTTGACAATAAACCATAGTTAGACCTTCTAGGTGTCCTGAGTTCCCATTCCTGATTCTCACGGCACTTCCTTCTGACCCAGGACCCTGGATTACTGATCACTTGGCTGGAGTTCCAGGTGGGACTATGTGGGAAAAGTGCTAAAAAGAAGCTGCACCTTTTGGAGGATGGAAACCACATAACTTATCCTCGCCTTTGCATCATCCCAGGCCTGAACCCAGCACATAGTAGGAACTCTCATAGTTGTTAATGAACTTGCACAAAATTGGATTGCACTAAATATGTGAGTGGTGTCTTTCAGTGTTCTGCTGATTGTGGTAAAGGGATGAAAAACCGAACTGTGACGTGTACCAACTCACAAGGAAAGTGTGATACAGCCAGGAGACCAAAAACCGAGGAGGCATGTGAGAATTATTCTGGCTGCTATGAGTGGAAAACAGGGGACTGGTCTAAGGTGAGTAAAGCATTTGCATTCTGATTTCATAATGGTTGAACAGCATATTTGAGAGTCAAGAATCAGAGAGTCAGGCTCCAGGTCTATAACGTGGTTCCAGTCTAATAAGACAAAGTCATTTTTTCCCATTCAACTCCACCTATCACTGACCCTATGCACCTAGTTCTATGATTTTTCCAGCCAGCTATACAACATGGTCACTTCCGTCTGGCTGGAAGTGTTTTATTTGTACATTTGATGAGAAAACTGATACAGCCTGAAACATTCCCACAGGAGATTCCTGGAATAGAATGCTGATGTCCCTCAGTATCCTGCCTTGGGCATGTTTTCCCCAGGCCCTTGAAAAAATTGACCAAAGGATATCCAAAGGGGAGCTTGTGAGACAGTTATCTCTTCCATTACTGACTTAGCAGGACTCATTAGATACTGGGTCTAAGTATTCACCCCACAGGGCCCTTGAAGTGGCAAAATATTCCTATTTTCCTAAATCTCAGGGTTTTTTGAGAACAGTATGGATTCTGATTGTAAATCAAGATGTTTCAGACTTGATATCAGAGGCATTAATGAAAAATTAAAGTGAAATAATGAGACATTTCTAACTAGAAACAAATTGCTCAAGAAGGATTACAACAACTGATGGTTTTTAAAAAAAGTGTTGGCTATCCCTGTTAAGAGTGGAGTATTTCCTTTAATTAAAAAGACTCAAGCTGTCATTGATTTCCTGGTGCCAGTGAAGGTCTGGGAAGAGCCCCTGCTGACTACCAAGCATTAAATTCAGATTCTGGGTATTCTACTTACCCCAGTACTTTTGGATCCATAGTCCTCTTGCTGTTATGTAGAAATAAGAACATCTAGAAGAAACGTTAAATTAACCAGTTGCTATTAACTCCAACTCATGGTGAGTCAGAGTAAAACTGTGTTCCATGTGTTTTTCCTGGCTATAATCTTTTGGAAACGTCTTGGTAGGTCTCTCTCTCTCTCTTTTTTTTTTTTTTTTTTTTTTTTTTTTAGGTACTTCAAGTGGATTCAAACAGCCAACCTTTCAGTTATTATACTTAAAAGAATTGTGAGCTGCAGAGCCCTGGGAGGAGTTAGGGAGAATCCATCCCCTGTCAAGTTCATGGAAAGGTTGTTCTAGCCATAAATCCTCCAGATAAAATTTGACACTTTGTTTTCTGGGCCCCACAACATTAGCAAGAAACAGACATTTGTCACAAAAGAAGGTAATTACAGAAAGCTTTTCAACTCCAACACGACTTCCAAAGATAGGTCCTTTGCTTCACACTACCAGGCTGCCCAACTAGGGCTCCATGGGTGAAGCTCCATGGTCAAGTAACTGTGATTCAAACAGCATTTCCTAAATTCCTGTTCTGTCTATATGTGACCATATACTGACTACTAGGGTTTGGAGAGCACTTAAAGACACATTCTGGTTTTTGCCAGTGCCAGACATGATAAGCCAAGATGGAGTCATTGCTGTGCATCTTGTGCAGAAGCTTTCTGGGGAGGTCACAGACAGCAGTGCTGTTAGAAGGTGATGCTATTATCTGTTACCAGAAGGAGCAATGGTGGCCCTGACATCCTCCAGTGCTTTGTAGTTTAAAGGTCTCTTTCACTGACTCTCCCAACCACTCTTATCTATTTCCATATCCAGATGAGGAAACGGAAGGGTCTAGTGGTAGAATGGTCTTCTTCCCAAAATCACAAGAACAGAGTTACACTATCTGATTTGAAAAATTAAGAAGATGAATTCAAGGAGATGTTCAAAAACAATTATCAGCCAGCTCTATTCCATTCCTTCCCTCTCTAAAATCCCCCGTAGGCTTTTAGTCAACCATTAGTGATTTGGTACAAAGCTATTATCGCTATAGGAATGATATATTTTAAAAAGTCAGTTTTTACTGAGTCTTCTCTTAATTAATAAAGAATAAGTTGAGTCCTTATTTATGCGCTTTGGATCTGTCCAACCAAAATTATATTGTAAATCCAAACTTCTATGCCTTTAATTATAATCCCATTTGCAAATGAAGGCTGTAAATTGTATGGGAGTGACTGTCCATCTTCCAAGGAGCAGCCAATGGATTCGAACCACTTGCCTTAGGCAGCACAACTCCTTACACATTAGGCTACCATAAAAGTCTGGCACACTTCTCGTAGGTATTCTCTGCAAGAATAGTGAAGTGTTCTAGAATTCCCATTCTTCTCAATGTTATGATCCATGCAGTGAAATGATTTTTCAATTTCAGCAGAACACAAGTAAAAAACTCTGGTATCCTCTCCTCTCAACCAAGATTCATCTAACATCAGTAATGATATCCCTTGTTCCACAACTTTGAATCCAGCTTGAATTTCTGGCTGTTCTCTATTGATGTCTTCCTTAAGCCCCTTTTAAATTATTTTCAGCAAGGTGTTATTTACTTATGAATACTATTCAGCAAATTTGCACTCTGTTAGATAATCATTCTTTGGAATGGTTTCAGTTGGTTGGTCAGGTAAGCTGTTGTCTAAATTTTTTAGCATAGACAAATACATATCCAGTATTATGTTTGCCTGTTTAAATATCTTAATTGATATTACATCAATTCCTTGAGGCTTATTTTTCATTATTTCTTTCAATACAGTTTGGATTTTTTTTCTTTGATACTCTTGTTCCTTGATCCAATGGCTGCCTCGTAAAATGGTTGACTTTCCATCTGCTTGTGATGCTTTATGTTTCATTCACTATCTTACTCATAGAGTCCTTCAGTATTACAAATAAAGGCTTGAATTTTTTTTTTCTTAGTTAAATCTGCTTGGAAAATGTAAAGCATATTCTCTTTTGGTTTTATAGCTCCAAATCCCTGCATGGTTCTTACAGCTTTATTTTGGTTTTCAAACTTTCTTTGATAGCTCCCTACATCGCTACTTCCATTTGCTTTCAGTTCTCTATATTTAGATAAAATTTCAGAATCTCTTCTGATATCCATCCTGGTATTTGTTTCCTTCTCTTTTTAATTAATTTTAGATTTTTGTTGTTGTTGTTACTGTTGTGTACTGTAAAATCAGATCCGACTGACAAAATAGGAGGTTGTCCCTCCTTCAGCAGAATATCTGGTGGATTTGAACTGCACACTTTAAGGATTGCAGTACAGTTTCTTGCCACTAGGCCACCAGAGCTCCCTCCTCATTTTAGATTTTTTTTTAATATGTCATTTGCAACATGTTTAGTCTCTCTATTACTTATTTCCAAAAATGTCATTTATTCGATTATATGTATTCCATGTCATGTATTTTTAGACAAGGTAGAGATGCATCCTATCTCCATAACTTTTCAACCTATATGCAGAACAGATTATCCGGGAGGTTGGGCTCTATAAGGAGAAATGTGGGGTCAAGATTGGTGGACGATTTATCAACAATCTGCGTTATGCAAGTGACACAACCTTGCTTGCTGAAACTGAAGAGACCTGAAGCGCCTGCTGCAGAGTGTCAAGGACTGCAGCCTACAATATGGATTGAGGCTCAATGTCAAGAAGACAAAGATTCTCACCACTGGACCAATTGGTAGCATCAGGATGGATGGTGACGAGATTGAGATTGTACACAGCTTTAGTTTGCTTGGCTCCATAGTCAACAGTCTTGGCACCAGCAGCCAGGAAATTAAAAGGCGCATTGCGATGGGAAAGTCTGCTGTTAAGGACCTCTCCAAAGTACTAAAGAGCAATGGTGTCTCTTTGGAGACTAAGGTGCATCTGATACAGGCCATGGTCTTCGCAATCACTTGTTATGCATCAGAGAGTTGGAGAATGACCAAGGAGGATAGAAGAATTGATGCCTTTGAGCTGTGGTGCTGGAGAAGAGTATTGAGAATACCATGGACTGCTAGGAAAACATACAGATTTGTCCTGGAAAGGGTTAAACCGGGTGGCTCCTTGGAGGCAAGGATTCTGAGGCTCCATCTAACATACTTTGGACATGTTGTGAGGAGAGACCGGTCCTTCGAGAGGGTCATCATGCTTGGGAGGGTGGAGGGACGGCGCAGGAGAGGAAGGCCCTCTATGAGGTGGATTGATTCAGTGACTGGGATAATTGGGATGGGAGTGTCAGAGCCAGTGCGATTGGCACAGGACAGAGCGGAGTTTAGGGCTGTTGTACATAGGGTCGCTATGAGAGGCAAGCGACTCAATGGCACATAACAACAACAACAACATTTGCAGTTAGTATGTTAGGTTTTGTTTACCATAGAGTCAGAACCTACCCAAGGCTGACCCTCCAGCAGCAGGTTTTCAGCGGCAGTTAATGGCACAGGAGGAGATTGCCCACCCTTCTCCCATGGAGCATCTGGTGTCCAAACCACATGTCTGCAGGATTGTAGTGCAGCTTCTAGCCACCAGAGCTCCCTAATAAGTTGTTAGTCTACAGAATTCTATCATGCAATCTCTAGCCTGGTTTATATCACTAAGGCTATATTTTCCAACCACCAATCATTCAATAATTATTAATGCATCTTGACTGCATGTCTGGCCAGTTTTAGATTGTAGCAGCTGATAGAAATCTTCAATTTCTTTTTCTATGTATTTAGTGGTTAGTCCATAAATTTGCATAATAGTCATACTAACAGCTTTTCCTTGTTTGTGTATAGATGTTATTCTATCACTGACAGTTTTGCATTCCAGGACAGATCTTGGAGTGTTATTTTTTTTAATATTTTCTATTGTTTTGCATACACAATTTTTATACATTGTGTTTCACATTTCCCTTCATTCACCTACTCGTTTATTTGTTTTCATATATTGTGTTTGATAAAATTAATCACCATTGAACTAAACCGACCATTAGCCTATCTTTTCAAGTTTCTGACAGATCTTTCCTATTTCCTTTACCTCCTCCCTCCACACACCAGATTGTGTGACCCTGTGATTTCCCTCTGCCTGCCCTTCCGTTTTGAGCCCCTCTACACGTTTTACTAGTTATCCTTCTGTGTTCCTTTTGATGAGGAATGTGATGTCATCACTTTCAAT